GGGCGGAGAGGGTGGCTGTAGGGGTGGTGAATAAAAAAAAAAAAAAAAACACCCACCAAAAAAAGGGATTTGGTAATGAGTACTTCCCTGGACTAGAAAAAGAGTCATAGGAGACAAGGAAGTATAATACATCTATACATCTGAGCCTGCAAGTTCAGGTTTATTTTTGGATTCTGGCATCAATAATGGTATGGTATTCAACAGAAAGACTTCTCCCACATTCATGTGAAAAGCAGCTCTAATGGCTAGAAGGGCATCTCTAAAAAGGAGGTACCCAGCCTGGCTGTAAGTTCAATAGCTATCCTGGTCCCAGTGCAGCAAGGTCATAGCTCTAAGGATTCTTTAGTCTCTTGAAAACACCGTATCAATACTTTGAGAGCAAAAATTTTGATGATCTCAGAGAAATAAGAGGTATGAGCTACTAATGATGGCACAGCAATTTTTTCCCCCTGAAATTAACAGTAACCAAAACTGTTATTTGTACCAAGGATTCTTCCAACACAGGCGTGTCTCATTCCTTCAGGGCAGGAACTGACATCAGAAGAAATATTTCCAGTACTGAATACCATAATGTTGAAATCTTGCCCTGAAGTACCTTGTATTTTTTAACTCATTCACACAAAACAAAGCTTGAAGGGCTTATCCTTTGATAACATCTTGCAAAAGGACACTGACTTCATCTTCAAATCACCTTGTGCTTTTTCAATTCACCTTTGGCAGCTGAGACTGACAGGTTTACTGTTATATAGATAGCACCAACGGTCCACACCATTTCCTTGTTCTTACATATCTCTCTGCCAACATACAGAAGACAATGCATCATTTGGATTGTGCATATCATATTGGAGAATTTGAACAACTACAATGAGAATCCCGGAAAAATCTATCGGTATAGTTTTCTTCGAAGGACTGAAATTGAGTCTTGCAAGGCTGGATTTCAAATTTGAAGAATTAAAGGCAATCTGAGCATATGCTCTATACATTGGTTCATCCAAGTTAACAAATACGTTGATTCAAAGGAAAATGTCTATTTTAAGACTGAAAAACTACAGGTTTGAAGATCTGCTAATCTGCCATTGTGAATGCCTTGAAGAGGCAGGCTCTTTAGGATAGCTGTGATGACAGGCTACAAATGTTGACTTTAGGACACTAAAGAACACCCTGAAGAATTTTAAATACCAGACACTACTGATTGTATCAACCAGAACGCTGGACGTTTAAGTTTTATCCATGTGCAGCAAAAAGAGGGAAGCAAAAGACTTGGACCATCCCTGCCTTCTATGCTTTCTTACAGAGCACAATGGGACTACAAACACCTACCTACTCCAGGAAGAAAAGCAGCTCATTTTGAGGGCAAAGAGCCCATGAGATACTTGAACACATTCCACACATACATCTGAATCCTTGGTGATTTAAAACCTAAAATCATTTGAATTATAAACCCTGCATGTGTGGCCACTTCAAAACCAGATCTTTTCTCTTCTTGCAAGTCAACAGTCTGTTAGGGTTTTAAGACTGGGCAGCCCATCCACTGTACTGCATGCAAAACTATGCCACGGTGGCTGACCTATATAAGAAAGGAATCCTGGTTATGAGCAGACCTCCCTACCAGATGCCTTGCTGTGCAGTTCCAACACTCTTCTAAATTATGCTTACCTCACTCATCTAAAATAAGCCAGCAAATCCTCAGGAGCAGACAGCAACTGAGTCATTCAAAAGCAACAGCCCCAGACTGCTCTCTGCAGTAATCCTTCAATGAGGGGTTGAGCCAGCTTCCTTGCAAAGCAACATCTTCAGATGCAATGCAACAAGTTTGTTTTCAGGCATATCTAAACTTGTTTTTATCTGGCACAGTACAGAACAGATCGGCTCCAGTGCTGGGAACAAGAGCCCAAGGGAAAAAACAAATGGATGACAGTAAGAGAACTGCTGATATCCCTGGGTTCAAATGGAGATCAACTGTTTCACTTTCTACAGTGCAGGAAGCTGGTAGTATTATCAGCTTGACACCAATACCTTATATCAGTCCTCCAAAACAGAAATAATACATAACGCTAATAACCCTACTATTCTTCTTTTAAAAAAAAAAAAAGGAAAAAATCACTGCTGTATGTCAAATCATAAATATGCTAAAGATGTAACTGAAATCTGAGACAGTCTCAAAGTGTGTTTAAATTACCAAGTGCTAAATGTAAACTTAATTTAGTGTGAAAATTCTCATCACTCATCTAGGAAAAGCCATTTCTAGGCCAACATTTACCTCTTTTTGGAGCTGCGTTCTCGGCTTCTCTCCCTGGAACTATGCCTGCTTCTATGATGGCTGCGACTCCGGCTGCGGCTGTTAGAGCGAGACCTGTGACGATGGCGTTTCTCACGGGATTTGGAGCGAGTTCTTCTCTTTCGTTCCCGGGAGGCTGAGCGAGACCGATGTCTGCGGCGATCTCGGGACCTAGATCTAGGAACAGAAAGGATTTAAACCAGACACTGCATTCACCTGGCTACTCTATCAGTGTACTTTGAATATTATGCACTCTATGCATAAGAAAATCTGTACAGAGAGTGGTCTGCAGTGCTCAGAGCTATTGCCATTGTCCTATCACATGCAAACAGAGAGGGGAAAGCAACATTAGAAATCCTACAAACTCCTTTGTGACTAATGCAGACAATTTTACAGTTAATTCATGACTGTATGTATGGTTACAGCATAGTCAATTCAGGCTTCTGAAAGGAATTAAAAATATGGAAAAAATCTGCTTTTTTAAATTTTAAAATCTTGCCTTTATCAGACAAAGTTGTAGAACTTTGTGATACAGTGATAGGGATCATCTGCCAGAACCTATGTATTATCATCTTCTGAGAAAACAAGACTATATCCTTCCCCATAGCAACTACAATAACACTAGTCTGGAAGGTTCTAAACACCATACAAATTCATGTGGTTTTTTTTTTTTTTAAAAAAAATCACTTTGCAATAATACCTCACTGGCGGCCTTCAACTGTGGAGTTTAGGAAGAAAACTCGTACTACTGATGGGTCATCTGTTGAGAGTTAACTGGGTGCTTAGGATTTTAAAAACATGGGTTTTCACCAAAAGGTATTAACCACAAGCTTCTGTTTGGAGAAAGAGCAATTCTCTGTATTCTAAGCATTATTTGGGACAAAAAGTTGCATTGTAGTAGCCATAAAATAGACGTACACATATAAACTCAGTAAGCATGGTGATAAATACTGTACGAACACCCAGAAAGATGACTATGTAACAGAATGCTTTGTCTGTAAAGATGGACATCTTAAACTAATAGTGCTAGACAAACTCATGTTCCAGCTTGTGAAGGGCTGGCTTCACTGATGATATTCCTTGTCTGCAGATTTATATACCTTTTGGTATGCTTGCTGTGGGATCTGGACCTGAAATAAATGGAAAATAGTACATCAATTTTTCTTACGGAATCTCATTACCAAACAAAGTACAAGATAGTAATGATAAACCAAACTAGTTGACCTGTTATTGTATTTCTTATTTTACTAGCAATTATTTAAAGGCCTTTTATTTGATGTTAACATCTTTGTAACATATTTACCAGGAAACACATCCCTCTGACAACTGTTTTGTGTTTGTTGTTTTTTCACTAATTTTTGAGCCCACCATACTACAAACCCCCCAAAATATCTAATCTCTTTTTTTATTCCCACCCCTCCCACAGAAAAAGCTTACAGTTCAAGTCAGTACTCCCTTATGTCTTGCCAGGCACATATTATCAGACTGCAACAGATTTCAAAGTTTACATGGTTAACCTCTGAAACTGACAAGTCAAGAGAACTGCAGTTCAGATTCCATTCCACTCTAGCCCCACAAGGCCTGGAAGCAAGTATTTCATAGAAGAACAGGGATCCTCAGTCATACCTTCAACTACTTCCAATAAGGAAAACTTCTAACATCTATAAGGAGAATATCTAACATCTAACAGATGTTAGAAACTCACATGTGTGTAAGCTGACATCTGTCAGGTCTCAAAACAAGGTACACACCTGAAAATCATCTCATTTAAAGGCCATTTGTTCAAATATGTAGAGACACTTCTATCTGTAGTTTTTAAAAAGGCTTTCTATGAAAACAACTCAGGTTTTAAGAATTAGACATGAAATTCACTCTCGATCCTTTTAAGCTTCCAAGGAATGCAGACTATTGTGATTCTGCAGATTTAGAAACGTGTATGAACTACATCATAGTTCTCCCATTAAACTTAAATAGGTCATTATGTATATGCAATTAAAATAGATCCCTACCTCCTTAGTTTCTCACTTTCTTATCTTTCCCTCTCCTCTCTACGTTTCAGACGTTCCTGATTTCGTTTCTCCTGTTTATCAGCCACAATCCTCTAAAAGCAAAGGAATACATTCATTAAGTTACATTTCAAAATTTCTCAGATGAAGGTGGTATAAAAATAATCTAGACAGTTAATATTCAGTTCTTTCTCTCATGTATATTCCCTTTCCCTTGTGTATATTATTCCCTCTCTCTTCCTCAGTATATATATTTTTTTTTTCTCCAAGAAACAGAAGTTATTGCAGAAGAGCTGCAGCAAATAGATGGGTGCTACATGAAGACCTGAAATATGTAGAGTTATGTAAGTTTTCCACGAAGGGGAATTCAGAGAAGTAAGTCATGCCTTTAATGTGAGAGTTTCCATGCCAATCCTATCATATTTTAGCCACTGCGGAAAGGCGGAAAGGAATCAGAACTGGGAGAGTTAATTGTTTTATTAACTCCTTCAGCTACGCTGTGACAAAGAAATCCTTAGTCTTAAAGGACTTGGTTGGGCTGATACCTAGTTTTGACGCTACTTGTTTCTGTATTGTGAACATGAGACATATAATTAGAGAGGATGCTTCAGCTGATAGCCCCCAGGTTGAACTCACTACTACTGGGGACAAGGCACGCTCAGTAGAGGGCCCTCAGATGTGGAACTCACAACTGGAGATCTGGCCAAACCCAAGTCTCGCCACCTTCTGGACATGATGCAAGAAATTCAACTCTTTGTAAAGACCTTCTTCTGAGATGTGGAATTGCCCCAGCAGCATCTTGATTAGATCTCTGAGGAGAGCTCTGAGGAAGGAGGGGATAGTTATTGTTTTCTTTTTTTGTTAGCGAAGTACTTCAAAAGATTATTTTATTGATGCTTTGGGAATGTGAAATAATTATCCATGCATTTTTTTCCAAATGGTGTAAATAATCAGCTATTTCAACCCTTTATGTCAAATTATATCTATACTTTCTTGTACAATACCAGTAATTTAACTACAAGCAAGGTTTCTTGTTCAAGTGACTCTTTGCATAACTTCATGGAGGGATGAGAGGAAGCACGCATGATCTGCTATGGGCATCTAAGGTTTAAGTTACAGCGGCTATGTTTAGGAGCCTAAATTGCCAATATAGTCAACGGAAAGAGTTGGGCTTTCCAAAGGGTAAGTCACGGTATCCATGCAAGACAGCTGGAATATTATGAAATACAAACCAAGTAAATTTACTCAAACTCAGTAGCAGCGTTTTCTGCTTTTTGGCTTCAACTCATTTAGCTATTGTCTTTAGTGATTTCTACAGTTAAATGCTTAATTGAGCCTTGAACTCTGTAATTTGCGTATTATGATCATAAATGGCATCAGTGTCCAAATCCATCCTCTTGAACACCAAAAGTCTAGAATATAATTCCAGTAAGCCTTTCTTCAGCACACAATTTCTGGTCAAGATAGTGTTGTTTAGGATAATATTCCAACTGGATTTCAAATCTTCAAGCTATAGAGAACATGCAACCTCCCTGTAACAATTATTTTAATAGCTACCCTGACTTCAAGACACCCATCATTTTATATTCTGGCTTTGGACAGGTACAGCCTTGAGCTGCTGGAACTTATTTATTTCCCCTATTGTCAGTTAAGCTTAAAAGCCTTCAAAAATTACTTAAAAAAAGAAATCTTCTTTAGTTGTTGGTACCTATAGAATGAAAGTCACCTCCTAATCTTTGTCCAGATAAAATAAACAAATTGAATTTTAGTCTTTCACCATACAGCAGGCTGTTTGAGCTCCAAGCATTTCTGTAGACCTTTTCTGAAAACTTTGCCAAGTGTTATCATCCTCCTTACATATTGGTATCAAAAATGAGGAGTTCAACACCAGCCCTATTGACATTTTATGCTAATTAAATAACATATTACTCACTTAAGCCCACCACATGTTCTTGCATTTTCAAGAGTCTCATTATTACTTTTAGTTAGTCAACTGGCTAAAAGTCAAGTTCATTTGGCTACCTCCTATGACTGCTCAATATGTTTCACCATCACTGTTGTTCAAAATACAGTTCTCCATTTTACAAGTGGAATCGCATTCTTTGTTCCCAAGAATGCATTCATTACTTTGAACATGCATTTTAATATATCTCAGTGCAAAAGAGGTCATCTTATCAAATTATGCAGATAACTGGTATTAAATTAGAATGTTCAGTGTTTTGTAGACTAATGAAATCCCAAATTTTAAAGTAAAAGGAAAAAAATTCAAATGCCCAGAAAGAAATATTCCATTAAATTTGCCTGGCAAATAATTAAGTAGGAGCACACACATATACACACACAAAAATAGAAGAATGATTTACCCTGAGTTCCTCAAGCTTCTCTCTTATTTCAATAAATCCTAAGTGTAGTTTTCCTCCAAAGTGGTCAGCAAGTCGTCGGTCGTTGTCATGAAGACCAAGATAAGCTGAGCACACTTCACAAACCCGTAGCTTCTGCTGCTGAAAGCTGGAGGCAGGCATAGAATTCCTGTATACTTCCTAGAAAAAACAATTTGCTAACTGTTACTTCTCAATGCACAGAAATACAAAGATAATGCTTTACCACAGATATACTGCAAATCAATAACCAAGTTCAACGTACACCAGCACACCCCTTAGTTAATTCACACTATTCATAAATCAACTGTCTCATTAAGATACAAGGCAGGTTCATTATTTTGAAGATTGGACATATTTAGAAGCAGGACATGAGCAACTGGTTTTGCAAATTAAACAAAGTGGGGTGATTATTACCTTTACTTAAGATAATACTCCTTAGAAGGATGAACAACTTTTTCATATGTAACAATCAATACACATTAACTAAAATTACTGTTAACATATTATGAAAAATATTACACCAGTTTTAATTCTGAACCCAGTTTAAAACAGTACAAGTTTCCTGAGAAACCTACCTGCATTTTAGACACTAATTAAGCACGCTATCTGAGCACAATTTATCTACAGACAGACGGATGACACACAAGCAAGACTGCCATCAACCCCTCTGGTACGATTAAAACAACTGCAGCTATTTGTTTCTATAAATGTAAGTATCTTGGTGAAATATGATATGGAAAAGCTCTTAGTGAGTTCTGCCACGTGATCATTACAACAAGGACTGTTTTGACTTGCCTGATACACAAGCCATTGACTAATTATCTTTCAATTAAGACAATGGTTCATTTCACTAAAGCTTTCCAGTATGAGCCACATCAGGACACCATGAAGCCCAACAGGGCTGCCACAGCAAGAGCTGTGAGACCCAATGAGATAAGTTAGTCCAACAAACACAGACACAACTGTAGTGTCCACAGATACAACTGGCCAAAAAAAAAAAAAAAAAATCCATCACCTGTGGAAGCGAGTGTAATTTTAGTATTATAGGAGTGTATTTAAGGTAGAAACTTTAACTCAACAGGATGTTGCAAAGCAAATTCTTTAGTTTTATATGAAGCAATTAGTTAAGGAAGTGGCAGTAGATAAGACATCTTGCATTACACAGATGCCAACCAGTTTAATATTGGATCCTGCCCTCTCCATCCCCCAAGCCTTACACAATCAACTTACTTCTGCTTCTCTCTTCTTTACCCGAGCCTTCTCCACTTCATCCATTACTTTTTGAGATTCTTCCACATTCCCATCAGCTCCAAGCTGTTCTACTTTGGCCAGCAGTTTCCCAATTTCTTCATTCAATTCATGAACTCTTTCAGCCTTGAAAGACAAGGAAAGGCTTACCACAGGAAATGCTTTTAATTATGGAAAACAATCTGAACTACTACCGAGTTACTATATGCAAAATTGGTAGGATAGAATTAAAAGAAACATGCAGAGAGAACTTCTCCAGGTAGAAGTGAAACAGAAGTTGCCTCATGTAAAAACACATGGAGAAAGGCTGAGTTACCAAGTCTATGTACCAACTCCAGAGCAGAATTTTTTTCAGAAACTTCAAGTAATTCACACTGTTGTCTACACCACACAGTCTTGCAAAAGTAGTATTTGTACAACCATTCCTCCTAGCATGTGCGTATATGCACAGAAAAATGATAGAAGTTCAGTTAGAAGATCTGGAGAAAAGCACATCAAATTTTGTTTAGTTTATGGATGAAGTTCTGATCAACAAGTGGAGGAATTACTAACATTTCTATGGCATAGTACCACAGAGAATCAAGTTTCCTGAGCTCAAAAATATCAGAGAGGTCTCTTCCCTGTGTTCTCCTCTCTATGCTTTAAAGGCAGTTTTGGGAAGGATAGAGAAAACGTCATCTTTTTTCCCCTCCTCAGTATGAACTCTCAGATTGAATAGCTTGCCAAAGCCTTAATCTGGCTCCTTAGAAAAACAGACCTTCAAAGAGATGTCAGCAACTAGTTTTACATGCTTACTTTAGCTGCAACTTCAGCACTGATCTCTTCTTGGGTTTCTGCTAGTCTTTTCTTAGCCACTTCTGTTCTCCTGTCACAGTCTGCAATAAATGACTGCAGGTGGTCCATTGCCTGAAACATCAATAAGAACACTGATCAATGCTGTCAAGAACATGAATATTTCATTAGCCTTAACACTTTTCAGGTTTATTAAGTCTTAACTTTTACAAGTTTTTATTAGTGACACCTTTGTAAAACAATTATCTAGCAGTTTATGCTGACTAATCACATATATTAATACACAACAATCATAGTCTATGCATTGTCATAGTTATAAGTATTTGCAGAAATTTGGAAGTTAATCTGTCTTAAGTCTTCTCTAAGAAGAAGTGAGCATTTCTAACATGCATTAAAACTCTTTGAAGGATATTCAGGTTCACCTCACCCAGCCAATACATGCAATACCATAACTTTTTTCACTAGGGTGTGAAGCTATTAAGCATAATTAACACCATCCTCCAAACAACCAAAAAGGTTTTGTTTTTTCTTTTTCCTAGCGAAGACTAACTTCCTAGTTGGGAGTTCAAAACTGTATTACTCAAACTATGGTGTACTGAAACATAGCATATGATTTGTTATCCCCAATACAAAACTTCTTTCTTCGATAAGCACAGAATTTAAGACTCTCTTCAAAGTATACACGGCCTTAACATTTGCTTGCTATTTGGTAACACTAAGGCAACATGCAGGTTTATGATAATTTGTTCTGTGGAAGGCTGTTAACAGTTCTACCTAGAGATTACTACCAATAGAAATTAAATACTCACATATAATCATGAAGAGTCATGTATCTTTTATATAACTGTGCAAGGGTTTCTCTGCCTCTGTCTATAAAATTACTTTCCAAAAGTTTTCCTTCTGTGTGTACCAAAACTTAACTTTTGTTGCTCAGTTAATCCATCTAGGCACACAAATCATGCTTTCTCTCCACCATTAAGACAAAATACATACATCAAGCTCAAAGAAGAAATCTTGATCTTTGGATGCTATTTCGTAGTCTGCCCTTAATGCCAGGTCATGCACCTTCAAACATTCTCCAAGGTCCATTCTCTGAAAAGAGAGACGGAAAGTCATATAACTTTTCAGAAGTGTTACAAGGAATGAAGTTAGCATGATTTTCTTTAACAGTCAAATATTCTGAAGCAAATAATCTCCCCTGTGGGAACGAAGGGACAGTTTAATAAAGCTATAAGACAATACCAGATCTTTAACTAACATGCACAAATCAGGAAGTAATAAAAGCAGACAGAATGAACAGCTTATCTTACCATGATGGCTGTTTGCATTACAGAGTAATGTCCTGCAAAAATGTTTTACTGCAAGTTCAAAAAAGTGACTTAAGTGGGACATCCTGCATTGAATTAAAAACAGCTAAGGAAAACCAAGTTCCCTGCAAATAACTGGCAATTAAATGGTCAAATGCTTGATCTGAACCGTCTGCACGCTCTACTATATGTGTTCCAATTAGATTTATCACCTGAAATAGCTACAACCACAGCGCCACTGTAAGTGCTGCTTAAAAACCGTTCTTGAAGCATTTCAAGTAATATAGCAAAAAATCAAATCCCAGCAAAACATTTTGCAGATGAGCTGAGTGTTGGACTATGTTCAAGAATCAGGGAAGAAAAAGTATAGGTATTTTACGTGTAATCTAAAACCGTCCTCAAATGGGCAGGAAGGAAACATGAACTTAAACTAAGTAGACAGCATCACTAATCTTGCATACAATGCCACTGAGTGCCCAGAATCTTAGTGGGTAATAAATACTGTTTTTTTAAAATTGAAATTTGCATACCATGTAGCATAAGGAATTCTAATTCAATCTGTTCCCTGAAACTTTGTCTGGTGATCAAGACAGAGCAATGTGCGCATGACAACCCCAGACCCCAAACCAACAAAAACCCCCAAACAAACAAACCAACCAACCTCAAAAAACAATCTGTAATGGAAACAAAATTGAACAAAACCAAGGCACCCTCTCTGCAAAAGCACAGGCTGACGTATAATCACTGAAAGTGATTAATATTTGTGTCACTTAAAACCAGCAGAGTTTCAGTTAAGTCTGCTCTTGGCACTGCTCACTTAGTATGAAGAAAAATTAATCCTTTCTTAACATTGACAGTACATAACGGAAGTTGAACGCTGGTGGAAAAAGCTGTTACTGTTGCAATTTAATAACAGTTTTAGAACCAAAACTAAAATAATTAATAACTTTTGTTGTGAGTTTTGTAAATAAAAGATGACTGTTAACTCAGAAACTGCTGCAATGTTATCTGAGCCAAATGAGTGCGCTTTTTTAAAAAATTAACAAAATACTTGCATTTAAGTAGCAATTCAAGCCTCCCTAGTAAAAAAAAAAAAAAACAAAAAAACTCAACCCCAAACATCAATTGCTTTCAACTTCTCAAATCATTAGATGTTCCAACAAATCCATTAGTTTACAGAAGTTGTTGGTTTATTTCAAATATTAGAGACAGAAAAAACATTGTTAAAATACAAAATTTTGAACTTGAAACTTTCTGATAAACTGTAGTTATTTAAATACCCTTCAGCCACCATAAACCTGTTTTCTGGAAAACATCTGATTGCAATAGAGAACATCTGATTGCAATGCTGAAGAAAAAGATTAGCTTTTCCTTTTTCAACTACACAGGACCTCAGCAATTTTGTTAACTGATGCAAATCCACAAAGACCTTGAAGCTGAGCAGTGTATTACAGATATATTTCTAAGTCATTAATTAGATGCTTCATTATTTAAATTGTAGCATTCTTTCAGGAAAGTATTTCAGTACGAGGAAAGCAATATGAAAGAACATTTAAAAATTATCTGAAAATTAGACACTTAATCCCCCTAAAATTCTGAAAAGCTTGTCTTTATGCCGATTCATCACTTGTACTGATAAGGTATTTAAGGTTAAACCATAAAACTCAAGGCCAATCCTGTTTTAAGTGAAGCACTCCGGTTCTAAATGCACAGATAAGGCTAATGACACACTTTAATAGATCTGGATATAATGACAAAAAGCCTGAAACACATCCACCACAGCATCAGAAAAATGCTATTTTAATATGCAATGTACATACACTTTGAATAAATGCATGAAAAACTTCCATCACACTAAAAAACCCAGAATTCACATGACACTGCCATGACACACAGTTCACTTTACATGTGTTTTACACTTCCTTTCTCTCTATTCGGGTGGGATTTGCCCTCTTCAAGACAGTACATTTTCTGATTGCTTCTACTGGGAATCATAAATCCATAGCCTGAAAGGATGGTAATTACTCTGAGCCAGCATTACTACTGAAAAATTTTCTGCCCTTCCTTTATCACTGTGCTGTGCCACTCCATGCTGGCACATCTGCCTGTGCAGCTGAACACAACCTGGGTACTGACTGGGTAAAACATGTTTTAGCAAACTGAAAACAGAGGCAATTTTTCAGCAGTGTCCCTTTGTCCAACTCGTCAGGCAGCCACACAGACAGATGCGCTGACAATATGCAGACAGCAATGGAACAGTGGACTCACGCAGCTAGGGTCTCTTACAGTATCAAGATCCCACTTCAGAAACTCTTAAATAACTTCAGTAATTTTAGCGGCAATTTTGGGGGATGAGGGAGGGGGTTACAGAGAAGTGGGTTTTGTTAGATGTCTCAATCAGAAAACAGGAAATTTTGGCTCCCCTTCCCCGATCTGATCCAGCAGAGTGCAGTCTTACAAATACTCACGTGGCATAACAGACAGGGAGCAAGAACAAGCAGGTACAAGAGAAAAGGATTCTTTTTCATTAGCTTTGCTGCTAAAGAAATTATATTGTTGTTGGAACTGCTCCTTAACATAGCCTGTACTAGTCTTGGCTAATCCTTTGAAAGCACCTTTGCAGAAATATTACTACTAAATGCCTGTCTTAAAAGCGCTACTAGCAAATCCCAAAGTAGAGAGGCATAAAAACCCATTTAAAACTCTTAAACCAGTTTGCGTATTATATGCAAAATCAGGCTAAAAAGCACTTCTGTTGGTATAAGTTATGCAACATTAAGCAAAGACAATTCATCTTGGGGATGATTCATCACTGTCAAAAGTCTATGCTGGATCAGGATTGCTGAGGACCTTAATACACACAGAGCAGCTCGTATTATAATTTGGCTCACACGGCTAGCTGCAAAGTAGATGGACAGCAGATGGAAACGGACGGAAGATACAGTAAGACACATTGTTTTCATCTTCCACATGTCCACCTTGCAATCTGGTGCCAAGACATGCCCTCCCCCAGAGGCAAAGAGCAAGCACTGGTAGGCAGCCATTTAAAGATCAATCACATTTGAAACAGAAGATGGCTATGAGGGAGACTAATGATCAGACACTGAGCTACTAACGAAGGCTTAAAAAGAACGCACATGAACTGTTTTTCACTGTTGATACACCGAGTTTCAGACAGACTTACACTGCTTAAAGTGATTTACAGAGTAGTCCTGATGAGTAAAGCAAATAAAGAAAGGTGAGAACATCCAAGTCCCCGGGCTAGACATAACTGTAGCTTATTGAATATGTGAAGCCACACTTTGGGGCTTTTTGCAGTTACTACACTTTTACTGAAGATTAAAACCAGAAAATCCCTACATATCTGGTAAATCTCTCTTACAATTGAAAGTGATTGCTGAAGATTAGTCTAGAAAATAGTCTAGGCAACCACATGCAAAGCAGGATATCAGGAGTCCTTTTGCTATTGCCGAGCTCTGCTTAAGAAACTAGTGCCTTCTACTAACAGCTTGCTAACAATTTTCTGTAATACTTTTTTTTATTTCTCAGCATTAGATGGGCAATTAAAGTTACCTGATTTCCCAGAGCTGAGGTTTAGACAACTGTTCTCTCATCCCAAACAACCTCATATTGAAATGATTTAGTAATCATTTTTGTCATCCCATCCTCAAACCAGACAGAATGCCTTTGGTATTAATGCAGAAGTATGGATTGCATACATTTAATTTAACAATGATGCATAGCTCTGCTTCAATCAAATCAGGTACCAGGAAAAAAAAAAAAAAAAAAAAAAAAAGAAAAGAAAATCATGTAAGTTAAGTATGAATAGACAAGGAAGAGCTGCCCAAGGACTTAGGCAATAGAGAATCTGGAGTTTATCTGTAAAACAAATCTGCACTCAGAGTAGCTAACACTAACAACTGAACTGGAGACTAAACTCTGATGTGATGCTGTTTCTGGAACATGAAATTAAGAAGGCTTTATTTTCAGATCTTGAGCTACCTGCAGCAAAATTCCGATTTTGGCACTTTTACAACTACTACACATTCCTTTGACACCAGAGATTACATTATTGAATGTATTCTATATGGAGTGCAAAAAGAGCACAGAAAAGCCAAAGCTGCTTAAAACACAGAGGGCTGATGTTGAGCCAAGTTTGACATAGTAGCACACACTATCAATGCTTCTAAAAACAGCATGCATCTTTGATAGGTTTTGAAAGAAGATACTCTAGGCAGTGTTTATGTAGAGAATTCTTTCTAGCTGTAAAGATACCCATACCAAAGCAGTTCACATTCAGCAAGAGAAGGTTTTTTTGTTTGTTTGCTTAGGAAGATCTGACCTGAATGAAAAATTTATATTGGAAGAATCAGTTCTCTTCCTTCATGAAATTGTCAAGGCAACTACTGGGGTCTGTATCAGAACACCCTTGCTATTGATAAGAAGCAGCTGCAGATAGACTCTTTGCCGAGATCTTCCTTATTATGGAACTCACTTGTCATCTGTGCTAACAATTTTGTTTCTGACAAATTTCTAGACTCGTGATAAAGCCCGGCCTTTCTTGTAGGCAACACATGTTCAGAAGGGGTGCCTTTAGGATGATATAATAATGCACCATTTAAGTCCTCTGACTCCACTAACTGGGTTAACTTTTTTAGGACTTCACTAGCAGGAAAGAAATGCTGAGCTAAAAAGAGGCAGAAATTATTAAGTTATTAAAGTCCCTAGCAACCACTGAAAATTCCAGGTATCTTCAGAAGTATACTTCTTTAAAGACATTTCGCC